TACTCAGTGGCAAAGAAAAATGAAATCATGAAATTTCCAGGTAAGTGGATGGAACTAGAAACTGTTACACTAAGTGAAGAAACACTGACTTGGAAAAACAAGCAACATATGTTCTCTCTCACTTGTAGATTTAGCATTAAATCCTTATATGTGAGTGTACATCCTGATGTATTTCAGGAGCCAGGAAAATGGAAAAGAACCACGGACATGAAGGGGAAGATGAAGAAGCTCAAGAGAGGTTGATAGTAGGAGACAAATGTTACCAAAAGGGAAATGGTAAAATGTGGGTATTTAACTGGGAAAGGAGGAAGGATGGTTATACAGGGAACCATGGGAGCAAAATAAAAGAAGGATCCTGAGAGAAGGGGATAGTAGGAGACAGGTGTTATCTAGCGGGGAATGGAGGAAAATGAGGGTATCTTAAATGGGGAGGGAAGAGGGAATATTATACAGGGGGAGAAAGAGGAGAGATAAATAATGCTTAGATGGTGTGAAAACCCAGAGGGAAATGTATTAGTTCAAAAGCCTACTGAAAAACACACATATGTATATTAGTATATGCATATGTAGATTAGAGAAACCTCCCTTCGAGCTGTTGGTCAGGCTAGTCCAAGAGATTTTCAAAATAACACAGGCTACTGCTGAAGCCCTTGTTTACCTCCCAGAACTTGAAGGTAAGACCTTATTGCTGAAGGCAGGACATATTTCAGACACAGGACTTGGAGCCACAGAGCTGGAACTGACCTGGTAGGCTTCTCCCTGAAGACTAGCTTTCATAATATCAAAGGCTACTATGCAATCTGATAAGGGAGAAAATCGATCAATGGTCCAACTGTTTAAGTTACTTCTCTGTTTCTGTGATAGAAACACTGACCAAAGCAATTTACAGAAGAAAGTTTATTTGAGCTTACAGTTCCAAAGGGGCAAGAGTCCACATGGCGGGAGGCATGGCAGCAGAGGTGGCTGGAGGAGGAGCAGAAGCTAGGCTCTACATCTTCAAACAGGTACAGGAAGCAAGAGAGTAAATCAAGATCCTGCAAGGCTTAAGAACATGCCCCCTGTGATGTGTTTCCTCCAGGATAGCCACACCTTCTAAGACCTTCCAAAACAGCACCACCAACTGGGGACAAAATGTCCAAATACTTGGCACCTATGGGGGACATTTTCATTCAAACCACTACACCAACCCAGCCATAAAGCTAATAACCACAACAAACTATCACTGTTAGTGCAGTAGTGGCATTTTTATCTTAGGGGTAGTCAACAGGTATCTAACTGAACTTAAGGCCCACTCAATGAGAAGGGACTCATGTGTGGTACTGTAAACATAGTGAAATACACATGGCCAGAAAGGTCATAGATCTTAGAAAAAATCCTACTTTTTCCACATCCCTAGACCAACATAATTTCTTACTGTATGCCAAATATGTATCCCGATATTTACAGACAAGTATACTGCTCACCACTCATTAAAGAAGCTTCTTTTTGCAACAAAGACTATGACAAAGTTTCACAACTGGTCAAACACAAAGAATAGGCATCTGTGAGATGCCCAGTCCTAACTGAAAAATCTACAATGCAGCCTCTACTACTAAGGCTCAAGGAACATAGCAGATCCAGGGGCAGAAAGAGTATTAATACATCTCTCAGCTCTCACCAGTGAAGCTTCCTCATGTAACAGAGGGTGATTAACATAGAAAGCCACAACTAGCCAAAACGTAGAGACTAAGAGACTGCAGCATTCATATCCTTGAACAGGACTCCTACATTAAACCTCTGCCAACCAGGGCCCAGAGACCATTATGGAAGAGGGGGGCAGAAAGACTGTAAGAGCCAGGGCAGGTGGAGGACCACAAGGAAAGTTTTCCAGGTGGCTGGGAACTTGCTCATATGAACTTACAATAATGGTGACACCATGCACAAGACCAATGTAAACTCAAACCAAAAACCCAGGAAAGAACTGGAGAAATGGGTAAGAAACCCCAACCTTAGCTGAGGAATTACTGGCAACTGATCACTGGCTGAGTGAGGGGGAGTTGGTCTTCTTTAAGGGAATGATGCAGGTAGGCTGAACAGGCTCCAGTGGATGAACTCATACCACACTGGGGACACAAGCTTGACTTGATGGGCTTTAACATATGTGACAGAATGCATTAAATCCAGTGGGGGTGCCATGGGAGATGCATAGGAGAGGGAACCTAAATATGATTGAGATATATTGTATGAAATGCACAAAAATTCAGTATTGAAAAAAGGAATCCGGCTGAGCACAAACCAGAGGAGCAAGCTAGTAAGCAGCATCCCTCCATGGTCTGTGCTCCAGTTCCTGCCTTCAGGTTCCTATTGAGCTCCTGCTCTAGCTTTCCTCAATGAAAGATTGTGCCATAAGCTGAAATAAACCCTTTCCTCCTCAAGTTGATTTTACTCAGTGTTCTATCAGAGCAATAGAAAGCCAACTAGGACAACCACTAAACTTTGTAAAATACTTTGGATATGTTGATGATGTTGAAATCAAGCTGAAGAAAGGAAAGAAAGCAAGGTTTCAAAAGATGATGCTTCTGTAGCTATAACCTACAGATACTTAGGGGAAACATAATTATAGGACAACTGTGGTTGGTCATGAAAGAGTCCCATTGCCTTTTTAGCTCTTGGTGTCATGAGGTGAATTTGCTTACCTCGCCCCCTTGTAGCCTGGCTGTCCTTGTTATCTGTATTGATTAATGGAGGGCAGCTATATGTAATGCTGTATGAATTCTGGGCCTCTGGCTTAGAAACCATGTAGATTTTGCTCCCACACTCTTAGAAAGTAGAGACTTCTGTATGGCATGGGCCAGTGTGGGGATAGTGAAAATAGATGACCAGTCACTCCAAAGGTCCCAGTTCCTGGTCAACCAAGTACCAGAAACAGAATTGTCTACTTGATTTCCAGTGACCTTATATGTATGAAATTTCCCAGTCAAGACCAGACATTCCTAGCTCATGCCAGCTAAAACCAGTGGTCCATAAAATTGTGATGTCAAATGAATAGTGCTATTCATGCCACTAGAGGAGAAAAGTGATCATCGTCTTATCCAGCTGCAAGGCCTATGAACTGAAATAACAAACAGCCTAGCAAGACATGCCTACTGGTACAATAGTGGCACAAATGTTATCAGAGTAACCAGCCACTTTCTGAATGGGTTTAAGGCCCACTGCAGAAAATAAAACCCATAACTAGCACGAGAGGTTGTGGATAACTACAAAGAAACAGTGTTTTCTAGACACAACAGGGAAATTGCACATGTCAACTCTTGGCAGTTGTGACAGCATGCATAAGACTTGCTCAAGCTCAAGCTAGATAAATCCCAACATGGAAAAGAAGATAGGCATGATGTCCCACAGCTAGCTGAGGAGCTATTGGCAATGGATATCTAGCTAAACGGGAGAGTCAGTCTTCTTTAAGAGTGTAGCCCTTGGTAGGCTGACTACACTCCAGTGGATGGCCATACACCCAAGAGTATATGAGCAGCACAAATTAGACCCAATTAATTAAGTCTTTTTTTCTCAATGTATATTTTTATTGAACTTTTGTGCATTTTATACAAAATAGCTTAATCATATTTAGACCCCTTCCCCCATCTCCACCCCCATAACCCCCCAACTGATTTCATGCACTCTATCATACATGTTAAGGCCTATCAAGTCAAGCTTGTGTACCCAAATGTCACTAAGTACAAGTTTATCCACTGGAGTCTAGTCAGCCCATCTAGAGTCATTCCCTTAAGGAATATCTACTCTCCCTCACCCCATAGTAATTATCTGGCAATAGTTTCTTGGCTAAGGTTGGGGCCAGCTGCCCATTTCCCTAGCTCTGAGCTGGTTTTCTGTGATTGAGTTGCATGGGTCATGTGCATGCTGTCACCCTTGCTGTAGGTTCATATGAGCAAGTTTCCAGAGGATGGGAAGACTCTGTTTCCTTATGATCATGCTCCAACCCTGGCTCTTATAGTTAAAATCTTTTTAAAAGAAGACACAAAGTTGGTGGGTAAGGATTAGAAGGTGAATATATAAAAAAAGTATGAAATTCTCAAAGAATTAATAAAAAAAATTTTTAAATAAAATAAAATTTAAGAAAGAAAGATCAACATGATAAAATTTACAGCCATTTTATTAAAACAAACCATTCAAAAGAAGACAATGTAGTGTAAACAGTAAACGCAGGGAACCAGCCAAGCCAGGCGGTGCTGCCAGCAGCTTCCAGTCAGCACTATGATTTCAAAGAGAGAGATATGCTCTTTTTAAAACTTTTAAATTTATTTTTATTTTATATTTTATGGATATGAGTGTTTGCCTGCATGTATGTAAGTGTACCCGGGTCATGCAGTGCCCATGGAGGCCAGAAGAGGGGATCAGATCTCCTGGAACTGGAGTTACAGGTGGTTGTTAGTTGCCATTTGAGTGCTAGAAACCATACCAGGGTCCTCTGGAAGAACAGCAAGTGCTCTTAACCGCTGAGCTGTTTCTCCAATCCTGAGGAGCATTTTCTTAGTAAACAATCCCACCAGCCCCTGTGCAAGCAGACACTTTATGAGAGTCCATTGCACAGATTTATCCAAAGCTGCCAATCCTGGAAGTACTTGAGCAGCTCTGGGTCCTGAGTAGGCCAAACAGCACTGCCCCTGTCCTGGAGTCTAGGAATCACTCGGGTTCCTTCTTGGAAATGACCTCTAGGTCAATCTAGATATTGACCACTGACCAATCTCTTCATATTCTCATCCTACCCCTGCACCAAACATCAAACATTTCCTTCTCACAGCCTCAACCCTCATGCAGATAGACACAGGCATATAGAAGACTGTGTAGGGCAGCTGTTCCTGGAACATGTTCTTCTGCCTCTCCGCCTCTCCACCCCATGCACAGCTGGTATTTCCATGTTAAAAAAAAAAAAAAAAAAAAGGTTTCCACCAAATTATGAAAAACCAAGGACACTATGTTTTGACTGCTGATTTTATTACATAACTAATAATAGGTAGAAAGAAAATGCCTTTGACAAGGAGCAAAGGAAAGTGCAGAGCTCTAGGGAAGACTGACAAGGTCAGGTTCATGCCCAGTTGCAGCAGTTACAGCTGGTGTCAAAAACAAGTCCCGCCTGGCAATGCTGCTGGTGTGTGATTCCATTCACACATTGCCATAAGGCATTTTTATTATCTTCCACAGGGTAGAGGCCATCAGCTCTGTCAGCACAGAATCCATTGCCTCCAGAGCTTCCTCCAGAGCTGCTGTCCCCGACTTCACTCCCACCCCCACTCTCTGGAGGAGAAGTTCCTGGCTGAGTAGGCAGATCAGGGGCGGTGCAACCTGAAACACACAGCACAAGATGTAGAGGGGTGAACAGATGAGGCAGTGAGCTTCACCCACAGAGGTGAAAAGAACTGTGGGTGGTTGTAGCCTGGAATTGGATGCAATTAGTTGAAGAATCTTAAACTGAGGAGATCACAATATAACTGTAGATTCAGGAATTAGGGAAAATTAGCATGCCAAGCTAGCCTGGCTTTCCATTTTAAAAGTCTCTTTTGCTAAGTCATTCAAGAAACACTTACTGTGTTCCCAATGTGCATAAATACATTTTTAATGATTTGAGTATTAATACCTCTAAGAGAAAAATCTGAAAATAATTCAGGGAGCTGAATTACACACCCTGAGTGATGATCCATTAAATACATGAGAACACTCGCTGTCAAGGGCTGCCTGTTAATTTCCATGGGTTAGGGAGGCTGAGCAAGACTTTGAAGAAAGGCCTCACACCCAAGAAGAATCTTATATGAAGGTCAGCACAATCTCTGCACACTCGTACATGCCTTGAAGTCCTAGTCAATCTAGGCCCGCCCACCCCAAAGGTAGATCTGGTTTCCCATAAAGGTATAAAATCCTTAGCATAGAAACTGAGAGTTGGTAGGGTCGGTATCTGTCTCTCACCTGCATAAACAGCAGTGGGATGAAATGGGAAGAGTCTCTCTGAGCAATAGAGATGGGCATGTCAAGGCTGCCTTTGAGTTGATGAGGGGACATCCTCTGCATACCCTGCTGTCAATTACCTGTACTGTGCACATCAAGGGCTTTCTTCAGGGTGGAAGTCAGAGGGAATGTGCCCTGGTCACAGAAAGAGCCAGTGAAGTCATCCAGATCAATGGCCCAGATCATGGCACCTCCAAACTTGTTCTGCTTAAGCCACTCAGCCTGTTAAGGATAAAGGGCAACAAAAGTCATTTGATTTCTTGAGCCTTAGGGCTGAGATACCAGCAACTCTCAGACACAGACTTACCTTGATATTGAAGCTCTTGACGTCATCATAGCCAACCCACTCATTGCCCTGATAGGCATAGGGCACTTCCTGAGGGGCGTCCCAAGCCTGAGTGGCTCCACCTTTCAGGAAGGTACAAGTCTTGAAAAAATTAAGAGATTCAAATCGTTTCAGTGTTAATCCCATAAAAGAAAAACACCTGCTGCATTAATCTCTTCGGTTTCCTTACTTTCGTGTCCTCAGTTGGAATTACCTCAATTTTGTAATTCTAAGTTTTATTTGTAGTAGAGATTGAGTTATTTTTGTCTTTGCAGTGCTGGTGACAAGACACAGAACATTGTACATGCTTAGGCACGTGCTCTACAACTGAGCCACATCCTCATTAGCCTCTATATGAAACCCAGGCTGGCTTTGAGCTTGGGATCATCCTGCCTCAGCCTCCTGAAGGCTGATATTACAGGTATGAGCAACCACCCACAGCAAAAGTTTTCGTGTAACATCATTGCATAATATGACTATTTTATTTTGTCCTGTGGTACTAGAGATTAAATACAGGGTTGTGTGCATGCTAGGCAAGTGCTTTACCTCTGGGCTACATACCTACATTGAATTATTTTTCAAATGCTTATATGTTATCCACAGTTTTAGTACTTGAATTTTGGAACCCATAGTAATAAAATAAATCTATTTTATTCCTTTCGGTACTAATGTAAATGCTCTGTTGCTTTAAGGGATATTTTATACTATTAAGTGTTCCTTATTTGGATTAATTATAGACATATGTTATTGAGACACTTAAAACACTTGGAGTGGACACACTCTAGAGCAGGTAGGGACCAGGCAGACAAAACATTCATATGCAGTAGTCTACCCTCCATTGCTACTGCCTAGCTCTGAGCAAGAAATTCACAGAGCACTGTGCAGTCAACCTACTGACCTCATAGTATGCCCAGAGCCCAGATTGCCTTGTATAGGGCCCAGCGGGGCCAGCACCAGAGGTAGGGGCTCCTATTCTGTCCCCGACCGCTTTCCGTCTCGCCAGCAAGAACGACGCGGGAGGACAAGTCAGGATCCTTCTGCAGCAGTTTATTTGAAGACTGAAGACCAAAGACGCCGAGAAGTGGGAGAGCTGTTGCTTATATATGCCCCAAAGGTCCCATTTATGATGTATAAGAAGCGGATTGGTTGCTGGAGATCACGCCACGGGAGGAGGCGGGGGAAAGCAGGCTCTTGTGCACGCCCCTTATGGGTGTGGCAGGATGTTTACTTTTAAGAAGGTCCGGATACCGGCGCCATCTTGTAATGGCGGCGGAGGCTGTGGCTCTCCACATGTTTATATCTGGTATACTTTTTCTTATATTTGAAGAACTTAAAATTTTTCTTGAAATGTGGGTCTGTGAGCCATAAATCTTTTTCACTGTTATTTTTCTTAAAAATTGGCCTTTGCTTTACCTTAATCATACCTAGGTTCCTAACAGGTCTAAGGATGGTAACTTGACAGCTTTTTCTTTTAGTACTTTAAAGATGGTTCATGGTACTTGCACTATCTGCTGTGAAAAACATGCTGCATC